ATTGTTTATGTTCAGAAGCGTTCATAGCATTGATGTATGCCGTGCAGAGTGAGAGGATTTGCGAATTAACACTGTTCCTGTTAGGATTATTGCTTGCAATGATAACATTCTGACACCCATGAATGATATCATGTTTTTTTTCTCTTTCACGTTTTGTATTAGTGGGAGGGCGGGGAGGTGATAGCCGGAAAAGCCCTCTAATCAGAGTTTATCTGGGAGATCCAGTATCTTCTCATCAATTTCATTACTCTCACGAAGAGCCCCTACGGCAAAGTGGATTAGCGTTTTTGTCTACGATTTCCCAGTCGGCTAGGCTTTCTACTAAATGAATTTCATTTTTCAAGAGCATAGTAGTGCCTGGCATCCGAATGCTATTCAGCGTTCTGCTTTGAATTTCGTTTGTTTTTATTTAGGTATTTTTACAGCCATTTTGAGTTGTTGTCTATAAGGTAGCTTCCGGTTGCCATTAGAATAGCTTCGAAATGTTCTAAGTTCTGCTCTCTGCATTTTTTGAGTCCGTCTTTGGGATGGGTGAGAAGGGTGGCTAAGTTTACCGCCTTCCGTCCTCAATTGCTGAATTGGTCACACAGACGGCAGGCGGCGAACTTAGCCGCCCTCTTCCCAACCCCGGGGCTTCTCATTCACTTGAAGGCCCACTTACTTTGGTCAAGATAATTAGGAATAATTCTGAAAAAAGTAAAAATTAGTATTTACATTTTCTCTATTTTAAAAATACCTTTGTATTGGAGTCAGTTTTTATTTAAATGAATATGAAACATACAAATTATTNTTTGGGATGGGTGAGAAGGGTGGCTAAGTTTACCGCCTTCCGTCCTGAATTGCTGAATTGGTCACTCAGATCGGCAGGCGGCGAACTTAGCCGCTTCTTTCCCCAACCCCGGGGCTTCTCACTCACTTGAAGGCCCACTTACTGAAAAAAGTTAAACTAGTGTTTACATTTTCTCTATTTTAAAAATACCTTTGTATTGGAGTCAGTTTTTATTTAAATGAATATGAAACATACAAATTATTTTTTCCATCACGTGTTTGCTGGAGCGAGCTGCTGGTCTCGCATAATACTGTTACAAATAGGCCTAATTTGACAGTGGAAATATGTCGCGACAGGCCTCATACTTAAGGAGCCTTCCTTTTTATTTCCTTCCTTTATCCTTTTTCTTGTTTTGTTCCGCAACTTATTTTGATCTACTTTGAAAATTATGTCGTAGAGTAGTACGGATAATTCGATTTCAGCTGGCTTTGTCAGCTGCTATACGAACTATTCTTCTCGGCTGGACGTTTTATTGCACATCTGCTTCATAAAGTTCGCATTATAGCTCTTTGAGCCCTAACCAATGCATTTCTTCGATTCGGATTTGTTTAAAGTGGTTTTGGTGTCGTTGGAGCAGTTCTCTGAATTTTCGAACGCTCCATTTAACTTGAACTGAACGAACTTGACAGGAGGTTTTATCGTTCCCATGGTTAAGGTTTTGCAAATACCTAGGTCGGAACCCGTTCAGCACTGGAACTCGTCTTCTATTAGGTTGGTTGGTCTTTTTCTGCACTTCACTGGGCAGTTACTGTAGTTACCGCTCATGAACCCCTTGTAACCAGTAAGAAACTGGCATTTGATCGTAAGGAATTTGGCAATTAGTTTGATGAATATGTTATGTGGACCGGTACATTCGAAATGGAGTACCGCTCACATAGCAAGCTTGTCATACTGATTGCTGGATCATTGCGATCAAATGCCTGGGTACGCTGAGGAGGCTGAAGACTGCGTGGGAGCCCTTGCTCGACTTTTCTGAAGTTCACCATGGCCTCCTGCTCCTAGAAGATGTATGCTTCGGGAATGTCAAGGTTGATTGGCCTATAGGATAATTACACCATTTGAAGTTTCTGATGAGGGTATGGTGCAGTGACTACGACCTTCGTCATTGCCAATGCGACCAGGGTACAGATTTTGGTCTTCACCTGAGCCATCCACCCTCTGGTTGTTCATTGGAAGTTCAGCTGGTAGGAGAATCGCCTAAAGTAGTTGTAATTAGGCTCGTAGTCAGGGATTTGTACTCGATCAATTACGGTAACTATTTTGAGTGGTAATCGAGTAAGACTTCCTCAATTCCCTGATGTGTTCGGCCTTTGCTAGTTGCTTTATACCCCCCTATAACTGAAAAGCTTTTATAGTCAAAAAGGTTACGTAAAATGACACATTGGCGAGGCTGCTTACCATAACATTCCTACGGGGATCAAATATCACATTTGCCACCCCGTTCCAGTTTAATTGGGCGTGTTTTCCTTTCCCGACCGAAAATCGGTAAGGGTAAGGCATTCAGAAATTTAATAGTATAGTTTGGTTATCATGATTTGATGACCTGAAAAGGCAGTTGGAAACTTGAAGTGACCCCAAATACTGGTGTGTAGGACATTAAAAGGAGAGGAAAGATGTTATTTAAAGTAGATAAAGGAAGCAAACAAGTTAGTAACTGGTTTTTAATGAGTTTACTATGCAAGTGATATTGGCATTGTTTAAAATCGATCCCTCCGGAGTGTTGTTTTCCATTACTATTCGCGATTGTTGTTTACTCATTACATTGTTCTCGGCCTTACGTGTAATGCTTTCACTCTTTACGGCAGAGTAGTTGACCTAGTAAATATCTGTGCAGCTGTACAATCTCGGAAAATTTACGCCCAGCGTTCGTCTGACATTTATATTTGCGGACTTATTTGAATGTGTTCTCAGAGAAAAACTGATTATGAGACAAGCAATTAAATGACAAAAGCTTTTTTCCTTCTGATCTTCGTCGGGGTGGGGGGAACTGGAATTTCAAAGTAGTCACTGGCCATTCGTACTTCCCGCTAGGAACCTTTGGGACATGGTCAATTCGACTGAAAATTTCGATAAGTAAGCCCCGGCCTTCCGATTTTTGGAGAAAAGGAAGCTTTTTCTTCGAAAGTTCCTCAGGTCTGTTTGCCAGAGCTTTTTTCTACAAATTGCGAGAGGGCTCTACCCCGATTTTTTCCCCTCCACAAAACCCAAGAGAAATGAAAAAGTGGCAGAAAGGATAGGCAAAGTACATTGAGGCAGAATGAAATACGTCAGAGCAACTGCTAACTAAATTTTAATTATATGTCCTTTAAGTTCACCAGGCTATTTTATGGTTATTCAGCATTCCGGCTCCGGCTTTCTATCACAATGCACCTTCATCCGATTGGGAATGGGAGAGCTCTGGTCTATTAGATCCCCGTCGTAATTCCTTATTGAAGTTCAATACGTGGCGCATTCTAGAGGGGACGATATGACACCGAGAGCTTTATAGTGTTGCACTTTCCCTTCCGTATCTGTTCTCCATGTCTTCAGTATTACTTCGTGATAGTTTGTCATAATTTCCTCCCCAGACAGACTATTACTGGAGCGCGTGACTAGTATGACCATGTGCATTGATGAAGGCACAGATGCCCTTGTTCGGCTTATTTCACATGTGGCCTCTTTCACGTGATTACTTCGTACTTGATGTAACCCAGACTTTGGAACTCATTTTTTCTTCAAATTGGGCGACCTCATCAGAGTGTGCAACTTAGGTGACCTTCTTTAGGAATAAAGGTGAAAGGATAAAGCCTTTGAAGTTGATCAGTCCCGTCTGTGGGATACGCCCCGCACCTGAAACCGATTCGAAAACATTACGTCGACCCATAAATTTCCCATTGGGCATCGTTCCTACACAATCGACAGTGAAGTCAAAGTTCAGGAATGATTGTTTTCTGGCAGTGAGTATAGATTCAAGGAAGGAACGACCAGTAGGCATTTTGGAATTCTCAACTTTGACCTTTAGAGCACTGACATAGAAGTCCGACATAAGGTTAGAGGATGAAGTCTTTCGGCGGTAATCATCCCGTCTGTGGGATGCACCCCGCCTTCGACTTCCATTCAGAATCGTAGTGGCGTATTGAATGCGTATGTGCCCTATACAATGACTTGCGGTGGCCAGCCAATGTATAAGTCAATGCTTATTATCCTCCCAAACGAGTCTGGTACCAATCAACTGACCCCGGGGGGATGGAGGGCCTGATTGGCTCGTGTGGGTATTGGTCCAGGATTTGAACCCAGACTATGTGTGTTTGATTGTTCATGACTTGTCATTATACGACCTCCGCACTTCAAATTCGGTTTTATGTAGCTTTTTGGGCCAAATTGAAATGTTTGAATGTTCTTTTTCCAATTGACCCCTTCAGTCCGTTGGCTTTGCTGCAATTCTTCAATTCTTGAGTGCAAGCAGAAGCTCAATGCTGCATGATTGTCCTTGGTGGCGTGCAGTGTATTAATAGGTACTTGGTCATGTGGTTCGGTCAGTTGTCGGCTACTTAACACCTGATAAGAGTGCTTTGTGATTTTCTGATTTTCTGTGGGAATTGAACAATTGAAAGTACAAAGCAATGATAGGTGTGAAGCTGCTCGATCATTGGCTGGAGGCGGTGTAAAAATGATTTTGTAAAGCCATAAATTAAGTCTCAGGTGTAGACGAATTGACTCGAACTTCGTTTCTTCAAACGTGTCCTCCCTACAATCACCTCAGTGAATCATCACCAAGCGGAGGTTTCGGACGTGTGGCGGGCGATCTTTGTCATCATATTTGCACGAGTGTTCTTTAGTTTTTCCGAGGTCCTCGATCATGACAGCATGACGGGCAGGATTTCTCAATCCTCTTCAGTTTTTCTTTTTCTAATTTGTTACTTTAATTCCTTTCATTCCATTCGTACCAGCTGAGCATCTCTTGAACTAATTGAGAGGAGGAACGTTTTCCCATTGCCATTGTCTCAAGTTATTGTTGACAGCACCGTTCGTTTTCACCCCGTCTCGTCGTAACGTCTGAAATTATTCATATGTTGACTGACTTTCTCACATTTCAGATGCTTATGCTGAAGCAATGAAGGAACGAGTGGGTCGCCGTGGTTTCTGGCGCGTGCCAGGCTCTCATTCAGCAAATTATTCCTATGCTAAGCATTCAATTGTTGATGTCGTCCTCGTCGCCGTCGCCGCCACCACCGCCGACGTCGACGTCGGTGCCTGGTGTCTGCCTGGCATGGGAATCTCGTGACCCGCGAACGCTGCAATGTCGAACCACGTTCGCGTACTGCGGCGTGTGCATACGTTCGTCGGTGTCACCCAGTTCATTGTTGTTGTTTATGGTTTTGACAGCAACCGTGTTTGCTGTGCCGTCCCAGTCGGGGGCAGTGTCGCGCGCGAAGATCACCTGAGTTGATAGAAAGAGGCGGGTTGACCACCAACCGGCTCACGGCATTGTTTTAAAGCTGCATGGGCAGGGCGGACGGCAGTGTACAATGGCTACAAGTTCTTCTACCTTGTTTTTCTATTACTACATTGGTTACGGTGACTGACCACGGTCACCCCACACTTTCATTAGCATTTACCTATCAGCGTAATACCATGCTTTCGACCGTCTACAGCAGGTACCTGTACTATTTGAATAATTTTACTGGGAGAATCTTCATGCTCGACATTTTTTTTTTGAGTTTTCTCCAATAAGAATGGGCGGATTGAAGAAGTGGGTGACGTCTTTTCAGCTTGTTTTGAAGTCCCTTCTTCCAGCCATGCCATAGGAGTTTCTATAAGTTTTCTTAGGTATCAAGTAATGTGACTGTATTTTTAAGCATTTTTTGTAGCTCTGCTTTGTATAATGCAATGACAAATAGAGGAAGTTGGCTACAATACCTGACGCGAGAAAGCCCCAAAAGCGGAGACGAACTTTATTTACCAGGTATCGCCTCCTATTTACTCTATGTCGAACGAGATTGAAGCGTTGAACCGAATGTTGTTTGTGAAACTGGAACCAAAGCAAAGTTCATGGCTTATCTTTTTGGCCAAAGTCCAGGTTGCGGCGATTGTCCGCGTGAGCAATTTGTCTCTAATTTTCGCGGACATCAGCTGTTCCCCCGCATCGAAACTCATGTGAACCGATTGTTTCCCCTTTCTTCCACCCATTCCTCTTTGACGGATCAGGGATTAATAAGTTTTGGATGTATTAACTATGGGAGGTTATGAAGAGAAGACTAAAACTCGAGAAATCAGACTTGACTACTTGGATGGCCTCCACACGTAATTCCTGATTTTCCCAGGGAGAAGGCTAACATTTGGAAAGAGAATGGTTCCGGTACTGGATAACTATCGAGTCCAGGGAGGCTGTCTTCCCTGTATGGCTTGCTATCTGCATGTTTGCTAATCGTGTTGCCGTTAGGATTATTTATTATCACTGAGTTCTTATCATGTTATCCATGCCATGTCATCTTGGCGCTGATGCATAAAGAAGTCCGGGAAGATGATTACGAATTCATATGCTGGATCGCAATGTGGGGCTCCTAAACAATCATCATTTATCATCCCCTTTTTTATGTATCTTCGCTCTTGACCAGGGTAGTCCATCAGTCCATTATCGTTTGTTTTTGTTACCCGTTATCAATCCTCCTATCACTTGATTGCACTTTTTTTCTGCGCTTGATGAGTCAGCTGCATCCTTGAAAAGTTCCGCTTCCTCCACCCATACCACCCTTCGATTTTGCATCATTCCAGAATGATGAAAGACAGTTGTCAATCTGAGCGCCCACCCCATCTAATCAACGAGGTCAATGCCCTATGAAGCATCTATTATTGTGACGTGTTACATCGAATGTTGCACTGCTTGGTTTCCTGGGAAGTTCTCTGTTTGGGAGCCCTTCACGACGTTTAAAGGGTATTAATGAGAATCAGTCATATTTTTCCTGTTCCATAGGAACGGTTTCTGTTGATATCCTATAGCCCCCATCTACTAAGCCGCTTTAATTATTTTTTTAATTATTGACATTCATAAATGTCATCTTAAGCTCGAACTGCTACGAATGATGATAGTAGTCATTATGGTTGGTCAAGAAGAGACCAGTCATCCTTGAAGAGCTAGCGAAGCATAAATCTCCGCATCGTTCAAGAACGGAAGTTAATCGTTTCGATTCCTTTCGTCTATGTGGGTGGGACTTGCGCTGTGGGCGGAGTCTGTGAAGAGGAATGAGTATTTCGCGAAATGCTCTTTTTCGATGCTGGAGGGTGGTAGCCTCTTGTTTTCGTTGCATATTGAATCCCGAATTTTTTTTTTAAATTTTGTCTTGGTGTTTTTGTTCTTTTGTACGACGCAGATGCTATCGCTCCCTTGGCGTGGCACTTTTATGATCAAAGAACGTTTTTATGAGGATTCTCGTCCAACAGACGCGATGGAGCTTTGGTGTCGGTCAGTCATACCCTGCAAACTTGATTGTTACTGAATTTTTAACAAGTTGGCAATTTGTAATAGGAATCTCTCTTATAGGTTTTTAGGTTAAGGTTTTTATTGAATCTTGTTTAAAGCGCCTCTCTGATTTCGGGAACGAGACTGGGTTTTTTCCCCTAATCATCTCATCTATTACGCTTCGATGGAAAGAGATCGCATCTTGAACATCGTGACTTGATCTTGATAGGATGGCTGCTGACATAATGAATTAGATCCGTTTCCATTAATCAAAGGTTCAATTAAAAAATGATCCCAACTCAGACAACTTCAAAAAGGTTGTTTGGACTCACTTGGGGTTCCTTTACACTTTTTACCAGCGAACCTATCGGGTATTTAGGCGGTATCAAGCCGCTTGCAAGACGTTTGACTTTCTTTCCAATCATTACACCCATACCCCTAAATAAAAAGTAATAACATGAAATTATGTCTTGATTCGCTGGGTTGCACATCCTAAGAGGAGCTACTTTTTACACTTTCATTTACACTGGCACCTTTTTGTCATATGACCGGTTCGATTCTTGCCAGATAAATGGCTGTGTTTAAAGCCATTTAGACGAATGGATGACAAAGAATCCTCGCTCGCTTCCATTGTTTTCCAACGATTTTTGAAGTTTCAGCCATGCATTCATGTTCTCCTTTATTGCTCCCATCTTCATGGGCAGTTCCGAGCCCATAGCCCGCATGATTGAAATCTTATCTACTATTCTCGGAGGTGTGAAACTGATCAGTGATATGACAGCTAGTTCCCACGGTGAAATTGCCACGGTGACCAGTAGAGAAGCCATAGGTAGGTGTTTTGTGAGATACAAAGCTCCTATGTCGGACCTCGGGCAACCAGGCTTCACATCCCTCCGGGGTCGGTTAGTTGGTATCAGACTCGTCTGGGAGGATAAAAGCCCTGGCTTGTACATCGGCTGGCCACCACAAGTC